TAATTACCAACATGGATGTCGCAGCGTGGATAAACTTTTACTTGGAGGATGGAACCTCGATTTGCATGTACATTCGGAGCGTGTTTGAGTGGATGCGTAAGATTTTTCCTCCAGCAGACTGAGTGATGCTGATGCAGTTGTGTGTCCCAATAAGCCCACAACAGCAAGTAGACCACCAAATCCAAAGTCTCTGAATAATTGACTGGAGTCGTGAAGTTTCCTTTGCGTCCACTCGTATCACGTAATAAGTTAGTCGTCCGCTTTTTGCATGAATTTTCCTTCGTTCATTTCTACACTGCGTGTTTCCAATTCCGCACAGGTCGTAAGCAAGGCATTCGGCAGTGTTCAATCTCTATTTGAAAATCGTCCTTCCGTGGAGTGCCTCTCCGTGGACCTCGCTGCTCGTTTACTGACCGCATTGTACACATACCGCCCAGGTGATCCGGCCATATTTGAAGTTTCCACCGCGGCCACTGATGCAAAGACAGGATTCACCGGTGTGGAAGTGCTTGTCTCATGGATTCGTGCTGTTCGTGCAGGCTGCTCTTATTTATGTGATTTGACCAGTCGGGTATTCGATGATACGTCCGATGCAGTGAATCGAATTGGAGTTCAGCGCCTAGCTTTGGAACACTTGGATCGCTTAATAAAGGGACTTTTAGATCTACTGATGACAACACCTCTACCGAAACTGCGGAAAACTGTTTCGGACATTTTGGATAGCATATTTATCCATGAATTCGTAAGTATTCCTTTGGTATTTAAGAAGTTGTGTGATCGTCTGTCCGGTATCATATCAGTTTCTGCTAGCATCCTTTGTAATATTTCGGTTGATCCCAGTTGTCCAGTGTAGCCTACTGCAGCTGGCCGCTCGGAGTCTACTTTTGATATTTGGATGAGCGGGTCGTTGACTACTTCGAACTTCCATCAAAGGGGTCAAAACTAACCGAATCCGGTGGATTACGATCTTATTTTTACCTTTTGTCTTGCGGGTTATATCCTTCAACCAAATGCTTTCTGTCAGACCCATTATTTGAGCTACTGTCCTGGGAATGAGCACCCTCGATCGCATTTTCACTGCTTTTAAATTCTATGAACCCTACATTGCGGATGATTTGAGAGATTTGCTAAATTCGCTCGTTTTATATCATTTTGGCGGGCTTCCTGAGACTAAACTCCAGTGT